TATTAATGTTTGTAGCCAACTAATTTGGATATGTATTTGTTCAAAGGGGAAGATACTGCAGATCAGATTTTCAGACTTTTATTTGATTAATACCAGATATTTCAACCTGTTTAAAACTATTGTGTTCCCTTATGAAAATGGAAAATATACCTGTCAAAATGTTAATCTGTCTTGATTAAAAAGAAAACTAAACCATATTTTGTTCTTGGGAATACAATTTAATATCGAACAAACTAGTTTGGTACTGTGTCAAATGAAACTGTTTAACGCGTGTGTTTAGATTTTAATGATTTCCTATATAAGGTAATGCCTGTACCAAGTAAGGAATATGAGTTCCATTCATTTAATGTGTTTGAGCTTTTGATTTTACCAATTGATAAAGGAAAATAATTTTCCATGCAGTTCAGTAATTTTGTTATTTTACTCTTTTATATTTGTCAATTAATGTTTCTTGTTTTATTATTCTTGTCGAAAATAGGAAAGTATGCCGAAAAAAATAACTAGAGTGTCTCAAAAACTTTTAAAGTTAAAATCAGCGTTGAAAGTGATGTCTTTTTCTTTTTGACTTTGTCAAGTTTGCGTATTGTTTTTGTAATGTTACATCACATTCGGAGAGGAAACTTTCATTTAGAATATTCAGACAAATTAATCTGGAATCAACCCCTTCCCCACTCCCATTTGGTTTTTGGGGAATATAAATGGTAGCATACGCTATAAATTTATTACTTTGGGATATCATAAGGCATATTTTGTCAATAGTGAACAAAAGGGTAAAACATGCTACACAGAAGAACAAGTGATCAGTATGCTGGAGTTTTTTATCGACAACATATTTGTTGAATTTGGAGGTAGTTTTTTTTCAACAAATTGTCGGCATTCCTATGGGAACGAACTGTGCGCCTCTCCTTCCCGACCTCTTCTTATTTTCATATGAATCGGAGTTCCTTCAGACACTTGTCAAAAACAAGAAGATCAAAGAAGCCAGATTATTTAATTTCACTTTTAGATATATTGATGATGTTCTTTCCATTAACAATCCGAACTTTTCTGATTGGGTTCCATTAATATATCCCCCAGAACTAGAAATGAAAGAAACAACAGACACGGCTTTCTCCGCCTCATTTTTAGACTTACATCTCGAATTTGACATACACAGTCATCTCAGTACCAGAATCTATGACAAACGAGACGATTTTAATTTCAAAATTATAAATTTCCCCCATCTTAGTAGCAATATACCAACTTCACCTGCATATGGGATATACATTTCCCAACTTATTCGATATTCAAGAGCTTGCAGCTCCTACTCAGACTCTGTAAAACGTCACCAGTGTCTGAGCAGAAAGTTAATGAACCAGGGGTATGTCAAAGAACGTCTCGTCTTTTTTCTAAAAAAGTTCATCGGAAGGTACCAAGACCTTGTTGATAAATATTCCGTATCAACTTCACAAATAATACATGATGGTCTTGAAGTATAGATTCTGCATACTGACGTTGTTTATCATCTTAACAACGTGTACTATTGTTCTTTCATTTGTCTTTGTTCTATTATTAATATTACTTTTACTGTTTGGTTTGTTTTCTGTGATATCCATTTGACATGGCTAGGTACTTATACATCCCGTCAATGTGTTTGTATTATCTTTCATTTTTGCTGGTGTGTTTTGTATATGCGACTTTTTGTGCTTCTGTGGTTCTTATAACGTGACTCTGTACTTTAAAAGATCCCGTCATTATGTTATTGTTCTTTTATAAATTTGAAAATACTTTGAACGACAAACGACACATTTATTTTACACATTGAATGACAACATTTCTTTTTATGTGACGTTTACATTTTCTGACGTCAGACACGGGAAGCAATGAATGTGGTTTATAATTTGATAGATGCTTTTGTGCTTTTTTGTAAATTATTGTATCGAGTCTCGGGTATCGAGATGCATTTCTTATAAATTCAACATGTTCAAATGCCTTTATTTAAAAAAAAACGATTGTTTTAAATTAAAATAAAACATACTGTATAATGGAAAATAGCGATGTAGTAAAAGTTTTTGCTGCTTAATCGTATGATTATTTTTAAGTTTGCAAAAAACAATAATGTACATTTGCGGGCTTCAAAAGACATCAGAAGATAGGATTTCCAGTAAACGGGGTTATTAGCCACTATTTGACTGATGTCTCAAATGTGTCGTCATAACTTAGATTTGTCAAGTGTTTTACACAAATTGAAAGTTATAAAACATTTTGGATAAATAAATATAGAGCTCAAAATTTGCACTTTATATTGTTTTCAAGTAAATAGATATACACAAATGTTTTCAAGTACATAGATATACACAAAATTCAATTACAGTTCAAATATTTTTTCAAAATCCTTATTTTTTCGAAACATGAACATGTCAAATCAACATGATTTAGCATAATTTCCCTATTGTACTGCATTTATTATAATTGCATGAATATATAGGTCATAAAATAGTTTTGTTTAACCAAAACAGTTTGTTAGCATAAAGTCACACCTTGCATAATAGACACTTTCATAAAACGTGCTTAAAATGGACATTTTTGGATCCTCTTATTGTACTTTCCTATATAATTGACTTCCACATAAAGAGCTATTACTCTAAAACATTAAAGGTTTCATTTGTTCTTTAATTGATTAGGAAACAAATGTTGCAACTCTCTCATGCAAAGTTGACCATGAAATGAGATGGCTATTATTTTAGGTCCTTTTTTGTTTGGTTATACAGCTCTCCAAATGTTTTGGATGGTTGAGGGACATACTCAAACAGCGTCGTATAAAGTACAAGAAAAAACCCCAAAAAATCGTTTTAAAATATGGGACCAGTGACTTTACCATTGTGTATCCCGTACATGCAGTGATGTGTGTACTTGATATTTCAATGTTTTTGACTAAAGTTAAGATGTGTTTTTTATATGTATGTTTGTATTTTTCATATGCATCATGAAATGCATTTTTTTTATATTTTTGATTATTGAGTAATACACAAACATAATTTTAGTCTTCCTTTCCTCCATTTTATCTTTTCTTTCAGATTGGTATTTTTTTTGAAAATGTTTTCGAAAGTACAGACATTTGCTATTAAGGATTCTAGCTCGTCAAGAAAAAGCATTTATCTTTTCGTTAACCTTAAACAGTTGTATTTTCTATAAGGTACCGACATTTTATTTCTTGTTCCTTGTTATTTCCCGTTTTGTTCATTTTGATCGACAGGTATGTAGAAACTTAAAATCCACTTGCTTCCAATTTCTTGGATTTGAGTGTTCCTGGTAAAGGTTTATCAAGGAAAGCGCTCCGTTCGCATCGAATTTCTTATCTTTATCTAATAAGTTGTTTGAATCTAAATGGTTGGATTTAACAACGTTGCAGGAATAAAATAAAACAATTGTCTTTGTGAAATTTGTTTAAAGACGTTTATGGAAAAACTGTTCGTTTATTTTTTTTCAATTTCATCGATTAACGTTGAACAAAAAACAAACACTGCAACTTGATATCTAAGTTCCCATTTATTGATACTAAACAAAATAGCGCCATACAAAAGTGATTTACATGTGTTTTAGAGTTTTCCACATACTGGTATGCTTGGAAAACACATGCGACTTATAATACAAGTGCTAATGTTTCAACTGATCCCAAAGTGTACAGGATTCTTTCTCCTACTCATGTCTTTCATAATTGTGTACAAGTTTCACTGTGATCAAATAAGAAGAACTAAAGTCCACTTTCTAAAACTATTTGTTTCGGCCACACATACGAGGGATTGACGGACGGATAGACACAGAAGTACAGACAGACGGAGGGCTTATGGTCAAAGCGACGAAATGCAACCGAAATATGTTACTGTTCCTCCTACGAAATTAGTTATTATTCCTACTAAAAAATTTATCAGAAATTCTACCTTAAGTAACCAGTAACAAATAGAATTTCAGTGAGTCTTGTCAAAGTTTTAATAATAATGTTTGTCACAGAAGCAAAGAAAGTAATGCATAGTATTAACCACAGAAAGCCATAACAAACTAAGAAAAGAAATTTAATCATGACATATCTAGATTTGATGGGGTACAATACATTTGCAATATATCAAAAACAAGTACAAACACTTTCAATACAAAATACAAAAGTTTCGTCAGAATTCAACAAAAAAACTTAAATCGATAAAGCAATGTTCGCTTTGGTTCAGCAACGCGGTAGTAGCTTTTTGAAACAATGATTAAGATTGCTTAAAAAGTTGTGCATATAATTGTGGCATTCCAATTATTTTTGATATTACGAGGACAACATGAATATTGGAAAAAATAGCAGGAACTTACTTTATTTTGTTTTAAATTTAGCGTTGTGCGAGGTACTGAACTGACAATCAGATGAAGTTGAATGCCTAACAAGAGATTTGATAAATATTTACTTTGCATTTATTTGTTAAAATACAGGGATCTGTTATAGCTACTGTGCTGTATGAATTAATGTGCATTTAATCCAAATATTTTGAAAGTTCATTCAATCCGATTTTCATGAAATGGTCATTTAATAAATAAGCTGAAAAACGAAAATCCAGTGTCCATAAAATGTAGCGGGTTTTCTAATTTTTGGATTTCTTATGCATATGGTACAACTGATCAATAGACAAATTATCAAACGAAAAAAAAAAATATCCCCCCCCTCCAAAAAAAAAAATACTGCACATCTCAATGTAAAAATAACCTTTATAGTTTGTAAACAATCTTAAGAGGAATTGTACTTGCCGATGCCACGCACACATACAGTATATCTATAAAAATGTACAGAGACATTTACAAAGCAACAAATGTAATGAAGGACATTTTTAATATTTGACGCTTTGCAGAATGTGTAAACATGAAATGTGATCAACGATTTTAAAACTGTCATTATAATGAAAATACTTGTAATAGTATACCTAAAATTTGGTTTTTCTTCCTTATTGCTATATATATGCCTCAACTACACAATGATAGGTGAAAAAAACTCGTACAAGGATATGTGCATGATGTGTGACAAGATATACGCAGTTATTCAATCATCACGAAATTCTCGTGAAATAAAGATTATATAACGTCTGGATTTTTCTTCATGTGTTCATATTATTAACCATACGCAAAGGAAAAGAATATAAATGTTAATAAATAGAATTTAACGCAATAACATTACAAAAGGTAAGAACCTACCTCTTAAGATGTTACAATGAATAATAATAAGAATATGTATTGAATCCAACAGTGTGCAACATTCAAATTAAAGACAATTATAAACAGAGGATACACAATAGGGAGCAGCGTCGTATAAAGTACAAGAAAAAACCCAAAGAAATCGTTTTAAAATATGGGCCCAGTGAATTCACCATTGTGTATCCTGTACATGCAGTGATGTGTGTACTTGATATTTCAATGTTTTTGACTAAAGTTAAGATGTGTTTTTGTATATGTATGTTTGTATTTTTCATATGCATCATGAAATGCATTTTTTTTTTTCATTTTTGAATATTGAGTAATACACAAACATAATTTTAGTCTTCCTTTCCCCCATTATATCTTTTCTTTCAGATTGATATTTTTTTGAAAATGTTTTCGAAAGTACAGACATTTGCTATTAAGGGTTCTAGCTCGTCAAGAAAAAAGATTTATCTTTTCGTTAACTTTTAACAATTGTATTTTCTATAAGGTACTGACATTTTTTTTTGTTCCTTATTATTTCCCGTTTTGTTCATTTTGATCGACAGGTATGTGGAAACTTAAAATCCACTTGCTTCCAATTTCTTGGATTTGAGTGTTCCTGGTAAAGGTTTATCAAGGAAAGCGCTCCGTTCGCATCGAATTTGTAAACGGTTTATTTAGTGACGGATAGACATAGAAGCACAGAGAGATGGAGGGCTTATGGTCAAAGCGACGACTACACGATGTTATATGCAACCGAAAGATGTTACTGTACCTCCTACGAAATTTGTTATTATTCCTACTAAAAAATAAGTACAAACACTTTCAATACAAACATAAACGTTTGATCAGCAAAAGGACTTGTAATTGTGGATTTAATGTAATTTTAAATAAAGAGGACGTTTGTTTTGTCATTTACAAAATATACATACTTGGCTTTCCAGTTTTCGGATTTAAGCATAACAATTAAACGTTAACTGATAAAAATCTATACGACGCATCAAATTCATTAAGTTTGTTGCACTTATCCTCCGTTGCATTAGGTCGTGGAATGTTAAAAAAAAAAGTTTCGTCAAAATTCAACAAAAAAACTTAAATCGATAAAACAATGTTCGCTTTGGTCCAGCAACGCGGTAGTAGCTTTTTGAAACAATAATTAAGATTGCTTAAAAAGTTGTGCCTACAGTTGTGGCATGCCAATTATGTTTGATATCACGAGGTCAACACGAATCTTGGAAAAAATAGCAGAAATTACTTTATTTTGTTTTAAATTTAGCGTTGTGCGTGGTACTGAACTGACAATCAGATGAAGTTGAATGACTAAAAATAGATTTGATAAATATCTGCTATGCATTTTTTTGTTAAAATACAGGGATCTGTTATAGCTACTGTGCTGTATGAATTAATGTGCATTTAATCCAAATATTTTGAAAGTTCATTCAATCCGCTTTTCATGAAATGGTCATTTAATACATAGGCTGAATAACGACAATCCAGTGTCCATGAAATGTAGCGGATTGTCTCATATTTGGATTTCTTATGCATATTGTACAACTGATCAATTATCAATTTAAATTTACAAACGAAAAAACAACACCCCCCCCCCCCCCCCCCCAAAAATAAAAAAATAAAAAAATACAGTACATCTCTATGTAAAACAACCTTTATAGTTTGTAAACAATCGTCAGAGGAATTTTACTTGCCGATGCCACGCACATATACATTATATCTATAAAAATGTACAGAGACATTTACAAAGCAACAAATGTAATGAAGGGCATTGTTGATATTTGACGCTTTGCAGAATGTGTAAACATGAAATGTGATCAACGATTTTAAAACTGTCATTATAATGAAAATACTTGTAATAGCGTTCCTAAAATTTAGTTTTTGTTCCTTATTGCTATATATATGGCTCAACCATACAATGGTAGGTAAAAAAAAAACTCGTACAGGGACATGAGCATGATTTGTAACAAGATATACGCAGTTATTCAATCATCACGTAATTCTCATGAAATAAAGATTATATAACGTCTGGATTTTTCTTCATGTGTTCATATTAATAATCAGAACGCAAAGGAAAAGAATATAAATGTTAATAAACAAAGTTTAACGCTATAACATGAATAAAGGTAAGAACCTATCTCTTAAGCCGTTACAATGAATAATAATAAGAATATGTATTGAATCCAACAGTGTGCAACATTCGAATTAAAGACAATTATAAACAGAGGATACACAAAAGGGAGGAACTCTATTGATTATTTATTTTTGTTTACGTCTAGTAGATAAAATATATCATGCATGCTCAAGCCGAAAACAAAGTAGCAGTTAAAATAAAGGGCGACACATTTTGAATTTCACCGGACAACAAGGGTCATGAAAATAAAGGTGGTATGGTTAGAGACAGTTATTCCGACTAACAACAAGCTACCTACGAAGCATTTACTGAATGAGGGATTAGGTTGTTCATCGCGCTGATAAATTAGAGATAACTGTATTGTATTTGAAGCTTTGCGGACGTACATCGGTAGTTTTACTGTCGCAAATTTAGTTTACCTGGCGACGCGTAGCGGAGACAGGTAAACGGTTATTTGCGACAGTAAAACTACAGATGGACGTCCGCAAAGCTTCAAATACAATACAGTTATCTTTATTCTAATGCAAAATAAACAAATCATTCAATTTTAGTCATTATTATAGTGTAAATCTTTATTAAACGAAAATTAAGCGAAATGATGTTATCTTCTTTGGCGCCAAAACTAGGTGACGTCATAAGTATGCTTCCGGCATCAAACGTAAACACCGGGCATTTTCTGTCTTCTTGTCCGCTTAAGAATGTAATAAAGTTTGATAAAAAAAGATTTATAGGTGCAAAATGTGAGATTGTTTGCTTATTATTGGAAAAATTACATGTTAATACATTCCGGAATTCAAAATGTCGGCTTCCTTAGTTACAGACAGGGAGATAGAGAATTTTACGCTTATTGCCATCCAATCAGAAACATTGATACAAAATAATTGCATTAGAATTAGCACTCAATCGACACGAGGCATTCGATTAAACGTCAGCATTCTGACCAGACCTGCTTGCGTATTCATATATCCCTTACAGTCAAGCAAAAGCCCCAATTTGGAAAGATTTTACTGCCGGTCGAAAAAAAAATCGAGCATGTATCATGTGTATACTCTTTTGGATTGAAGGGCTCAAAGTAACAGCATATAGTCACGTATATGTACATTGAACTTACATTGTTACTCGGTAATATCATCCATTTATTTCAGCAGTTTTCCACATATTATTCTATATATATATTATTCGTAGCAACCATTGCATAGGGCCAATTCGTACAAAAACATGTGTAACAAGAGAGCAGTTGTTTAATATTATGTGTTTCTCGTGAAATAAAGAAGACATAACAATTGTATTTTTATTAATTCATATAAAAATCAAACAAAACTGATCCTTTGTAACCTTATTCATGTGAATTCAAATATAACAACCAATGTCTTGAAGATCCTCCTTCATCAGACGTGTTAGTTGTATACTTAACTTTTGGATAATTGCATTATACCTTGCCAAAGTTGGAATGTTGATTGGTCGTAGGTAAAAATGGACGGCTTATGCGGCGCTTATGGTACTACATGTAAGATAATTCAAAAAGAAAGTGTGATAGGCAATAACAATAAACATGTAGACATGGCCTTTTTATCAACATTATTTGTGGGCTTTTTGTATTACCTTGTACCGCATTACCATGTACCGAATTATTTTGGCAAGGCGATAGAAATTGCCTTAATAAAAATAGAGCGGTCTCACATTGATTGCAAGTCCAAATAATGTTGAAGTTTTACATCAATTGCAAGAAATTACGTATACTTGATTTATTGTATGGTTGGTTAAAAATACGCTTTGTTTTGACCTGATAAAGGCATTCATATAGAAAAATGATACTGATTACAGTAATTTGAAATTCATTGTTCTCAAGGGCATTTACATAAATATACTTCAGTAATTTGATAGTATTGTTTGTGTATTGACTCAAAGACTTTGCAATGAATGCATTGTTTTTATTGTCAGATATTACAAAGCTCTAAACGAAAAGAATATTGTTAAATGTTATTTTTTCAAATTTTAAGTTCTTGTTCATATTAACGACCAGGTAAAAACTAAATTTTTAATTGAACAAAACAGGGTCTGTATTGGTTTATTTGTTTACTGTGGTATTTGCGGTGCGGGTTACTTTTACGGAAGAGATACGAAAGATACCAAAGGTATATCCCAACTCATAAGTCGAAAACAAACTGACAATACCTTGACAAAAATGATTAACCATCAAATGACAAACAATTAACAAAATAAAACATAAAAACTATAGATTGACCAACACAAACACCACCAAAACTGGATAAGTATATTCTGCTCCATATGCCACTATCGCCGTGCTCATGTTAGTAAAGCAAATGTTGAAGCAAATTTTTGTTTTCCCTCGCCGGGATTCGAACTCATGCTATTGGGATATTGTGACAACACCGCCTGCACTGTATCCAGCGCTCTAGACCACTCGACCACCTAGACTAAACTAAAAATTCAGCTTTCGGTGGCCTAGTGTTACCTTTCCTCGTCAGTAGAATCTAGAGTTGTAACACAGTACATGATATATCAGGCATGCAGATTGAATTGATTGCAGATTAGCTAAATTATCTGTCGTAAAGGATCGTAAGATGCAGTCACGTATATACAAATATACTTTAGTTGATTTGAAATTAAAAAAATATTCATGAAACAGAAATATAATTGAAAAAAGTACATAAAAAAGCATGTGGCCCGTGCTTCGGTACTGCTATGATTTATAACATACTTTTGAAATAATCAGTAGTAACAGTTAAAAGTCATTCTTCAGTCATAAGTCATATTCGACTATTCTTAATAAACGACAATAAAACAAATGAGCAGCGCAACTGTATTAACAATATCCGGAAATTATAAGGAAGGCTTAAATCATGATTTAGGAAGAATATTACCCTAAGTCATACAGACCAATAATTCCATCAATATGCAATGCATTTGCTATTTAAGAATATCTAAGCTTGAATTTAAGCGTTTTAATAACCAGATCAGTTCAAATCTTTAACATAAACTAATTGAATCGACTGAAGTAGACACATAAGTGTTTAAAAAAATATAAAAAAGCATTCATGAAATGTACTTCAAAATTAGCCCAACATTAGCCCTTACCGGACATTTTTACTTTTTATTCCGATCTCTAAATGTGTATTTTTTTAATTTCAATCAGGGTCATACTAAAGATATATAAAAGGACTTCTTGAAATCTTGATTGGCTAAGCTTGTTTTTTGAGATATCAACCTCTTATATAAACGGTAGACAAAGTCAATAGCGAGGTTCATAAAACATATAAGCAGATCGGTCTATAACGCTCTAACTGACTACAAGAATGCGCTTATATATGTAGCATAATATTGTATTTACATGACAATATCGGAATATGGGTATTCAATCAAATCTTAACATGAAGTTGTTATAAATAAATAATGTTTAACGACTTTATTACATTAATGTGTAAATACGTTAATTATGAGCTATGAAGGTCAAATGTTTCGTGCATTTTTCTGAGTAGGGTTAAAAAACATTTCAAACAAATATACCTTACTGTGGGTTAGCATTCGTTAGCAGTCACTATCTTATAGATTAACAGCTGTTGGTTATATTGATAATTTATAATCTTCATTGAAGCCGGGGCACGAATGTTGTGTTAATTAATTCGTGTGTGTGTGCCATTCCTTTGTACTATGTTTCAATTCCAAAAAGTCTTTCGAATCTATGCGTTTATTGTCTCCCTTGAATATGTTCATTATTTCATCTTTACATATAGTTATTTCATTTAATTTTAAATCATTAAAACATTCATAACTTTAAAAGATCTTAGTATTTATCATTGCTTTATTAAACACATTTATGTATATCTATAATTTCATTTATTTGTTTTATTTGGTTACATATTAGACTGCCTCAAACTAATCCTGGAGTAGTTTACTTTTAAAGCTGAATATGTATTTTTTTTTCTTCGTTTCTTAGTCTAGCAAACAAATATTGTATTGCACAGTTCATCGAGACTAAGTGTGTTTTAGAATTACTAATGGTCAAGGTTTTTATGGTTTGGCGCCAAAAGTATTGTCTTGTATTAAGGTCCTCATTCTATCCGTGGACGTTCGATAGAAAACCACATGAAGATGGAATTGATTGCAGATTAGCTAAATATCTATCGTAAAGGATCGTAAGATACAATCACAGAAATAATTATTTTTGATAAGTACGTCTAAACAAGTGACAACTCTACGACAGATCCATCCAGTGAAGATGATACACGGCTGAAAACACTGTGTCCATCGCTCTAGACCACTCATATAATTAATCTAAATATCAACATAACAATGTTTAATCTGCAAATTTATCATATATATATATGAGTCTAAAAGATTGTGTAACAATACCGATAAATAGATGGAAAACAAAACACTAAAAAGTGTTGAATATCATCGCACATATATATATATTTATGTTATAACCAGTGACTGATTATTTTTTGTATTCGGATTTTTAGCACTGGATTTGACGCTTTCTCTGGAAGTGGTGTCGGCATTACCTCGAGTTACGGGTTTCCATGATATTACTTTTTATGGCTTTTCCTGGGTGGCATTCATTACTTATGACAGAGATAATAAAAGATTCAAGGATTTAACATTTGTTTCTTAAACCTACATAGGCATAACTGTTTAGTCTAATCTGTTATTTTCTATTAATGTATTGTATAAATATGTATCGTCACATAATGTCAGAATATATCATATTAAATGCCGGCTAGTTCGTCCGCAAACATAAATAAGTTGAGTTATTTTTTAAATTAATATAGTTTTGAAGTACCTGGAATCTTCTACAGTATAAAACAAAATTGTTTTACCGGATTTGTAATAGCATAAGCAACACGACGGGTGCCACATGTGGAGCAGGATCTGCTTACCATACCGGAGCACCTGAGATCACCCCAAGTTTTTGGCGGGGTTCGTGTTGTTTAATCTTTAGTTTTTTATGTTGTGTCATCTGTACTATTATTTGTCTGTTTGTCTTTTTATTTTTGGCCATGGCGTTGTCAGTTTATTTTCGATCTATGAGTTTGACTGTCCCTCTGGTATCTTTCGTCCCTCTTTTGTGTATAAATAAAAAGAACATCGTTAAGATAAGACAGACATTTAACTGTTTATGGTAATTCCTACCAAACTTCTAACATGTGAATTACGACAGGATTTAACTTTACGTTCCCAACGTCAACGACAATGAAAAATTACCAAAACATATATCATTGCAACCATCGTCCCCTATTCTATAACGTACAACTTTTCACCAATAAAGAAACCATTCTGATATTCGATTTTCGCGTTTTCAATTTAAAGAGGGAACTGTTGAGCCAAGTGTCCGTTTGTTACAAAAATCATATCTAGATCAGCAAGGGGCGAATTACATGGCAATATAATGCATTATATTACAATTACTTTGACAAAACCATGCATTAAATTACAATTACAAGTACATGCATTTATCAAAGTAATGCATTAAATTACAATTACTATAAGTTTGCAAAGTAATGAATTGAATTACACATTACATTTGTAAATTTTATTATCAAGTGAACAGAAAAACCAAACACTTTGAAAAACAACATGAAGTAACAAAAGATTCTAGCTTATGCAGTAACTAATCTATGTATTGCATTTAAGTATACATGTAAAAATTCTATTCAATACAACTATTACATTTTAACATCATAAGAGTATCGAAGGTTTCATCCTTTATGTGCATTCTATGTTTCAAGGTAAACATCTCTTACAGAAATGAAGTTAAATTCATATTTCAACTTGATGTTAACTTTACTTTTATAAATATACATTTGTTTTTTTTTTTTTAATTTCAATTAAAGTATTTACTGAGGATTTCTTTCCTAATTATATAATAAAAACAGAACTTAATCTATGACAAAGTGTCAAAATGGTGAAAAGATTGATTGTAAAACAAGCTAATTAGTGCTTTATGGTTATTTAATCATGACAAAGGTATTCATTGATCTTTTGACAACAATGGAACACTTTTACAGTAATGCTTTTCAAATATCAATCTTTTTATGCAAGCAAATGTATGAAATAAAATGAAATAAAAACAAGAACTCAATCTGATATACAGTATTGTGTTATTCATTTAGAATTGTAGTTTGGTCATTCTAGTATTGATACCATTTTTTTTTCAAGTTCTACCTGGGGCAAGGCTTAATCTCCTAATTCCTTCTAGTGATTTATGCAAAGTGCGAAAAATAAATATTAAATAAAAATCAATATTAACATGATTATATTCTTAGTTAATCAAGAAATCTTAAATTCTGCTTTAGTTAAATCTCCAACAATCTGTTAAAGATAAAGAGTATGTTAAAAGTAATCCCTTGTAATGCAATGTAATGCATGGAATTTCACAACTTTTTGCTGAAGTAATGCATTAATTTACAATTACAGGCAATGCAAAAATTGTTGCATTATACATTACATGCAATTACTTGGAAAAATGTAATGCATTACAATGCATTACAATTACAAATGTGCATTACCTCATGCCTGATCTAGATATTTGAAAATATTAAAGAACACCAACGATAACCAAATCAATCGATGTAAAAGTTTATATCTGGAATTGATATACATGCATACACTTTCATCTAGTCAAAAAATGGCGAAAGATATCAAAGGGGACATTAAAACTCATAAGTCGAAAACAAAACTGGCATATGACTTCAAGTACATACTATTGAGGAACATATGCCGTGAGTGTGCATTATTCCTTATAAAATGGGTATCTTACACGGTCATGTTTTAGCCTAACTGCCTAACAGCATGAATACAAGTAACTGTTGCCTTTTTTAATGACGTCCTTACACTAAATCCATTTGATGTTTGATGCGTACTGATTGATATTATAATCTTTAAAAAAATTATATTGTATTAATTGTTACATGTATTAGCTTTGAATTAGTTTTAAATAGCTGTCAGTAACTGCGATTACTCTCAGTACTGTATTTTTCTGCTTTGTATCGATCTGTGGAGTTAAGCCCTTTTCAGCTGATTTGAATAGTCTGTTCATATGTTGTGCTGTTACACCACTGTCCCTGGTTATGAAGAGGGTTAGGCGCCCACAAACGTATTTTACACCGCCACATTGATATGTGCCTGTCTAAAGTCAGGAGCCTGTAATCCAGTTGTTATCGTTTGTTTTGTTTTTCGTTCGGTATTGTTTACATAAATCAGGCCGTTAGTTTTCTCGTTAGAATTGTTTTACATTTGTCATTTCAGGGCCTTTTATAGCTGACTATGCGGAACGGATTCTGCACATTTTTGAAGGCCGTATGGCGATCTATTGTTGTTAATTTCTATGGCATTTGGTCTCTTTTGAAGTGCTGTCTCATTGGCAATTATACCATATTTTCTTATTTTTATATTTACTTTATTTTATATTTTGGTAACATGTGTTTATGATGCAAACTATTTATTTTCAGTGATGTAACATAACCAAAATGAACGCAGAAATTACTTTTCTCCTCTTTCTTGTTGTGATCAGTACTGGATTGGTAAAAGGAACATGCCCGGCGACTTGTTTTTGTTCTAGCGGTTCATCAGGCTCTAACGTTAACTGTTACTCAAAACATTTGGGACATATTCCAGACCTTCCTAGTGATACGTATGTCATGTAAGTACACAGATTATTATGTGCGTATATAATTACACGTGTACTTTTGGTATCATTCATTCGAATATCTTAATACTGTCATATCCATTGACCTATTTTAGCCTATGGTCTCAATATTTGTTAGATGTGAACACATGAAAAACCAAAGACGATATGCTAAATGCAATGAAATGATCTTTTTGTTGCATGTACACATTAACGAAGGATTAAGATAGATAGCAAAAACGCATTTATCAGAGATACCATTTTTAATTGTTATCATTCACAACAGACAGCGATAAGTTTACCTTCCACAATTCTTCAAATCAAAACATTTATGTGTGGAGCCAAATAAAAAAACTACGAATAACCTGGCTCAAATAAGAGTATTTATATAGAACAGTGAAGATCTAAAACAACACACTGAATCATGCCGTTCATTGTGTTGGGGTTTTCATTCATATTTGAGGTGTTTTTTATCCTGATGTATTTATCGTATTTTTTAAAATTTCATTGATTTCTCATTCCTCCAGTAGCTAGGATTCATTTTCTGTCTTTAAACATAAGCATAGTTTCCCTACAAAAGGTATCGGGCGTTATTTTAAAATGGTAGATAACCGTATTTAAATCATTCTGATGTAGCAATCCCCTTAAAGTATGATACAATCAGCAATAAGTCGAATTTATTCTATTACACTTGTGAAAGGTTATCGCAAGACAATATTATGACCAATGAACATTATGTAAAATTGTCCAAACAAAATAAAACACGATAATAGCATTTTTAAAGATTGTATGCAATGCTTAAACATGTTAAAAAAAACCTGTACGAGATTATAGTGAAAAAAAAATACTGTTTTTTTTTTAATTTACCAAACAAGAAAAAACAAATATGCTCTAGATATATTGCTGACCGGATGATTTTCTTTTTATCTTCTTCTAGAGATCTCATGAATAACAGCATAACCGAAATTGATATTCAGTTTTGTAAAGAGATGCCGCAATTGATAACTCTGTATGTAAATACATTTAGTTTTGCTTTATATTACATATAAGTGTGTTACCAATTAAACAGCAATGTTCTTGTCTCTCAAAAACGTAGAGTTGAATAAAGGAGGGATATACTAATACACAAATATCGGTACAATAAAATGTCAAGATGCCATTTGATATTAAAAATATCTGTAATATAATGTCATCCTTATAATGCTAAGTTATATTTACACCTTTGCACTTCTGTTTAAAACTAAAGACCATTTAATGAAATATCACTACTTTTGTTTCAGTCTATGTTGTATTTAGCTGTATTTGGCAAAACTTTTAGGAAATTTGGTCCTCAATGCTCTTCAACTTCGTGCTATATTTGGCTTTTTTAACTTATTTGGATTCGAGCGTCACTGATGAGTCTTTTGTAGACGAAACGCGCGTCTGGCATAAATACAAAATTTAATCCTGGTATCTATGATGAGTTTATTTACAACCACTGGGTCGATGCCACTGCTGGTGGAGTTTTAATTCCCCGAGGGTATCACCAGCCCAGTAGTCAGCACGTCTGTGCTGACATGAATTATCATTGATATGGTCATATTTATAAATTAACTGTTTGCAAAACTTTTGAAATTTTTAAATACTAAGGCCTTTTTACCTCAGGAAGAGATTACCTTAGCTGTATTTGGCAAAATTTTTGGGAATTTTGGTCTTCAATGCTCTTCAACTTCGTGCTTTATTTGGCTTCTTTTAACTTGTTTGGATTTGAGCGTCACTGATGAGTCTTTTGTAGACGAAACGCGCGTCTGGCGTAAATACAAAATTTAATCCTGGTATCTATGATGAGTTTATTTTTGTTTTGCTATTGTATTTACATATATTTTTTCTATAAGTCTTCTTGTATAAAAGACTAAATTCAATGTCGGAAACTATTATCTGAATAATCAAGTCACGTTCCTGCGTTTTATTTCCACATAGTTTGCGAGGTATATTTAAACTTATAAAAATATTTCAGAAATAAAAGTTGTCCACACACTAGGCAAAGTGAAGTCCTTTTTAGAGCAGATAAGTTATTCATCAACAGTGAGTGGGACTTATAAATAAATAAATAAAAATACAGTGTTTTAGTAAGTGATTCGAACTGTAAAGCATTGCCTCCTGCATTAACATGCTCGTCATTATAATACAGTTTTCTTTTCAAATTAAAACTACTCCTTTCAAACAAATTCGAAAAATTCTACTACGTTGAATTTATTCCTACTGGAAACAAATTTGTGCTAAAATTGTACTTGTAAAAAGTAAACATATGGCATTGTAACGTACATGACAGAACAGTGTCATTATAATGTAATCAACGATATGTAATGAAGGCTACAGAGAACAGAAAGAGTAAATCTTCTTCACATTGGCTCTCTTGTTGGATTTTCTACTGAACAGTTTTTATCGATGGATATATGTACTAAAATATATCAATTGAATATCTAAAGAGATACTTAAATTCTTGACTTTTAAAAATGCATCATTTTCTTTTTTATACAAGCTACATCTCCAACAATCAGATTGCTGAAATTCCGGTTAACACATTTGTAGATTGTGAACTACTGCAAAACATGTAAGTATATCTTTTATATATTCATTTTGTGATGAACTTATCGTTAAATATTAAAAAAACAATACACACAGAAAATATTTCTGAAGGACATATAGCACGAAAAAAAGTGAGTACAACAAATATATTATATTGCTTTGATAAGGTCAAATTGCTTGCAATGTCTATTTCGAATGTATGAAATGACGATACGACATTAACTTTCAAGAATTTTATTATTTAGAGAGCTGACGTAGTATAATTGCATTTGCTACGACTATCCACCAGCTTATTACTATACAATTGACCGAAAAAACTGGGTCTTTTAGAGCTGTTAAGATCAAATTGACCGCTATAGATAAAATGTGGTTAACCATTGGTAAGACTTATAGTTGCGTTCGAAATTAAAAACAAAGTAAGTACAGAATAGTTATGCTGGACATAATACAAGCTTTTTAATACAAGTTAAAACTTAATTTTGAAAAACAAATATATAAAGGAATGTTTTCTGTCTCATGTATAAATCTGATTCCATGTCCAGGTTTATATTTACCACATTCTGGTTTTTATCACAACTGTAATATTTGTATCGTTTCTTTTTTTAGACTTTCAAATATTTTTGTGTCAAGCATCAATGACGAGATATCAATTTTCGAAATTAGCACATCGAGTTTTTATTGATGTTAACTGCATATGATATGGTGAATTTGTAAAATCAGAGATTACTGTAAATTCATAAATTATTTTTTGCATTTATTATTGCGATTATTGAAGAATAGACAAAAATGCGACCTTCATATGTTTCTAATGAACATTTATTTCTCTTCAACGTTCGGTAACATCACACCTTAGATATAAAGGCTTAGGATTTTCAATGTGGATGCAAGATTGAATCGTGATATACCTTATAAGTTAGATATTACATCAGAGCGAACATGCATGTACATCATTGATTCTGTTATAGTACTAACTCTGTCCTTATACATCATTGGTTTTCAAATATTCGGCTTTGAGCATTAGTTTTGCAACGTATTGTTTTCATTTTTTTAAATAGATTATGATTTGATTTGAACAAATGTAAACCACTACATTCAATACCAGTGATTGTGAGTAGCTTCTATAAATGTTTGAATGTCGATTTGAACTTAATTGTCTAGGTTATTCTTTTATGTTAAAAACATAGAAGACAACCTTACTTATTCAAATACTATTAGGTTAACAATACATTGTAAGTGATGCAAGTATAGCAGGAGACGCGTATCGTGTTGAAGCACTCATTCTTCTTTAGTTTGTAGATCAAGAAATTTTATAAGTCTGTGTGTAACTTCGATTTGAACATTGAATAAGTTTTGTATCCGATTAGTATCATTTTGTTAAACTGTGTGTATTTTGCTTTAGAAAAGCACGTTCGTTTCCTCTTTCAGATATCTACATAACAACAAGATACAGTCATTAGAAAGTAATACGTTTATCAACATGACAAACTTGTATTGGCTGTAAGTCGTTATATAATTTTTATGTTTTATTTTTTTTTTAAATGGCATTATCCCTACAAGTAACTCATTTATAAATAAAGTTATTACTTACATTCGGTCGGGTGTTAAATTTAATGGCAGTGTTTTATTAATGCAAATTGATCTATATTATAGACTCGGGACATTTCAGCGTTTGACATACTACAGGGATACCTGTCTGTTGTTGAGGACCGTACATTGACCTCTACATATATTGTATTATATTCGTTTGGTGGCCGTTTTTCCCACAAATCCTTTTATTCATATCAATCTATAACATGTAAATGTATTGACCTTTTATCAAACACAGACATATAGAAATGTATATGCCTATAGAGAACTTTTTTTAGCAGTGTCGTATAATTGACGTCTACCACACATATCATGTTTTCATAATGATCTTTGAAATGACTTAGATTAATTCTTTTGTACATGATATTCATCAAACTATGCAATTCTAAGTTTTGTTCTGTTTGTTTAAAAGACTGACACATTCAACTCATGTAACCTTCTCTTTTAAGAGAGCTGTCTAACAATGAAATATCTTCAATAGAATCATTAACTTTTATGAATCTTCCAAGTCTTGGATATTTGTGAGTACTTGTATTTTGTTATTCAGATTTCATTTAACGCATCATTTATGCAAAAGCCGTTAGGTATTCATCACATTCGCACGAAGCTTTATTCATTACTCCTTTCAAAACTTGTGTTCTGTGTACAATTTATGTTTGAAAAGCACTGTAACTCACCCTCATTCAAACCAATACAAACTTACAGCTATCATTTCGGAAATTGCAAGTCACAGACTTTTCAAACCAGTTTGCATTGTAAAAGATGAAAATCAGAAAAGATCCTTTCTTAAACTTTCCTTTGCCAACAAATTTCCCGATGCCATCAACTTGGGCAATATCCCTCATCATAAATCAGTTCTCTCGAAAATACCTCCCTATTTTAAAGTTGCAACTAAAATTTTAAATTACAAGCACGTGTTGGAGGATCGCAATATTGACGAATCTTCAAGTCTAAACCTCCTGATTGCACCTGTGCTAGTTCCCCATTAATATATAATCAGGCTGGCCACGTTTTTAATGGTGACCTAAACATTGTCAATTACACTTCTCTGCGAAATGTGTTATCCAAAGACCCGAAATATCGTGAGGCTAAATCAATCAATTGGAAACACAACTTCAAAATACTGATGGATTTAGTGAGGATTAGGCCAGGCAGTGTGTTAAACGCGAGAAAGAAGACGTAGATATTCTTTCCAAATGAATTAAGGCTGTGAGGTAGTTCATACAAATCAGAATTAAGAAACTGAATGGGTCTATAAATACCCATGCTACATTAATCTTTAGAGACCCAAATGTTGCAAAACACTTGTCCTATATTCATGACAAATATGTTGTTGTCTCCGCAGATAAAGCCCCAAACAACCTCGTATTTGTGTGTAAATCTAATTAAATTGCTTGCTTGATAAATGAATTTGGTATTGACAATTGACTTGGAAAGTAAACGTATACCCCCACGACACTTACATGAATTACTAAAAAGAAAATCCTGCTGGGTCTTCGAAGTGCTCCATGAAACCTCTTTCTAAATTAATAACATTAATTTTATTAGTAATCAAAGCCGGGCTTCAAAGTTATTGTGAAACTTCCTATTCTAGAGGTGGCGTGAACAAAATATGTGGATACTAAAAAATTCCAAAGATATTTTAGAGTACATACGATCTAAGACTCTTTCATCTTGCAATAGTATTTAAACATTTGACTTTTCTACACTTTACCTAAGTATTCCCTATTCCAAACTAAAAGACAAGTTGAAAGAGTTGGTTCTGTTTTGTTTCATAAAAAATAATGGCCTGCGTAGATACCAGTATGTTTCTTAGGAAGGGATAAATCCTACTTTGTAAAAAATCACTCTGATTCAAACAAAAAATTCTCTGAAACAAACATTATCAAGATGCTTGATTTTGTTATTAACAACATATTTGTTACGTTTGAAGGATGTGTTTTTCAACAAACAATCGGCATTCCAATGGAAACAAATTGTGCCCCTCTTCTTGCCGACCTGTTCCTTTATTCATATGAGGCTGACTTCATACAGATACTTCTTAGGAAGAAAGAAATGAAGTTAGCAGTATCCTTTAACTCTACTTTCCGCTATATAGATGATGTTCCCTCACTAAACAATTCAAAATTTGGTGACTATGTTGAAAGCATCTATCCTTTCGAACTTGAGATAAAGGATACAACAGATACAGTTTAGTCTGCCTCATATTTTGACTTACATCTAGATATTGACAGTGAGGGTCGGTTGAAAACAAAACTTTACGACAAAAGAGATGATTTCAGCTTCCTAATTGTGAACGTTCCATTTCCATGTAGCATCATTCCAGCAGCGCCTGCATACGGAGTATATATTTCCCAGTTGATACGATATTCCAGGGCTTGTATTTTCTATCATGATTTCTTTGATAGAGAGTTGCTGCTCACAAGAAAGCTAGAGTTCCCAGTCGTGCGTTTTACGGACGCCATCACGAGTTGGTTGATTGTTATGGAATATCCATTTCAAAGATGATAGCGGATATGTTTCTAATATCGTAACTACAATCCTGTCCCCTTTTCCCGAATGTGACCTACCGAATTAGACGTATTACCGTTCGTACTAACACGAGCAACACGACAGGTGCCACGTATGGGGCAGGATCTTCTTACCATTCCGGAGCACCTGCGATCACCCCCAGTTTTTGGTAGGGTTCGTGTTGCTCAATCTTTAGTTTTCTATGATGTGTTTTGTGTACTATTGTTTGTCTGTTTGTCTTTTTCTTTTTTAGCCATGGTGTTGTCAGTTTATTTTCGACTAATGCGTTTGAATGTCACTCTTTGCTTCTCTTTTAAAGTTAACAAATCATAAATCGGTAGAAAAAACGTTATCAATGACAACACATGGATGAAATGAAATATATAGGTAACCGTAAGGCTTTCATCGATACGCAAAACCCATAATGTGACAAAAACAATCAATGTTAGTAAAGGTTGCTAGACAACATCTGCAACAATACAATCAAGAAAGCCAAATGGCTGATTCTCGCAAAAACAATAAATGAAATCAACGAGTTAAACTATGCGCTATTGCTTACAAAAATAAACCCTCTATAAGTATCCGTGAACATGACGTTGATAAATGTGCCACACAGAATAACATGCTAAAATAAAGCTTGATACAAAACAATAGATAGCCATGTTTTGTAGATCATGCAGAAAATACATAACCATAACGTGTATAAGTATTCAGTAATCAGACTAAATCAGAAGTAGACATACGATATAAATCAGTAATACTAGCAAAAAAATCATTCGTATAAATACTTGATTTACTACTAATTGTTTTCTATTTGTATCTAATTTCTTTTTTATAATTTGTATTGATGAATATGATTTTTTTAATCTTTTTAGAATTCTTCATAACAACAAGATACAGTTATTGGAGAGTTATACGTTTATCAAT